ATTCAGTCAAATAATACATTTCCCTACAAACTAAAATCACAAGGAGATTCACTAGCACTCTGGGAGGCCAAGGTGGGTGGATTGACTGAGCTCAGGAGTTTGAGACCAGCCTGAGCAACAGCAAGACGCCATCTCTAAAAACAGCCGGGTATTGTGGGCACCTGTAGGCCCAGCTACTTGGGAGGCTGAGGCAAAAGAATCGCTTAAGCCTAAGAATTTGAGGTTGCCTATGAGCTATGACACCACTGGTGACAAAGAGAGACTCTGCCAATAAAATAAAATAAAATAAATTTTATACTCTTGGTGATGGGTGTAATCTAAAACAGACAATAAATTTGGAGGAGGATGTAGAGAAATGGGAACCCTCATATATTGTTGATAGAAATGTAAAATGCTACAGCCACTTCAGAAGACAGTTTGGTAGTTTCTTTTTCTTTCTTTTTTTTTTTTTTTTTTTTGAACAGAGCTGGGTTTGAACCCGCCACCTCTGGCATATGGGACTGGCACCCTACCCTTTTGAGCCACAGGTGCTGCCCGACAGTTTGGTAGTTTCTTAATAAGTTAAACTTACCATACAATTCAACAATTCCACTCCTCAGTATATACAGAAGAGAAATAAAAATATAAATCCATATAAAGACTGGTCTGCAAATATTCCTATCAGTATTACTTATAATGGCCCCAAAGTGAAGACAACCCAAATGTCCATCAGATGCTTAATAGAGAAACAAAATAGCATATCCCTACAAAATACTATTCAGCAATAGAAATGAATGGCACACTGATACACATTACAACACAGAAGATACTAAAAAATTATGCTAAGTGAAAGCAGCCAGGCTTCATCCAGCATATGACTCACTTATATGAAGTGTCCAGAATAGGTGAATCTAGAGATCGAGAACAGAATAGTGGTTACCTAAGCCCGGTGATGTGAATAAGCAACAAATGTAAATGGACAAGAGTGATCTTACTGGACAAGAGTGATCTTACATGACAATGCTCCCAAACCAGATTACAATGATGGTCGTACAACTCATAAAAATCAATGAATCCCGTAATACAAATGGGTCAGTTTTATGGCATGTAAATTACATCTCAAAGTAGTTTTTAAAAAATGAATACATTTTCCTAAAATAAATGAACAATGATAACAAAAAGATATGTTAAAACATTTAACTAACTATAGCAAAAGGAGAAAAACAGGATGGAAATTAAACTTCTGTGAAAACACCTTGCATTTACTTTTTAAAATTTGCCTTTGGAAGAATGTAAGTGATGTATATAATGTAAAATAAAATTGAAAGAGAAAAAAGTAATTGATAAAAATTGAAAGCAAATAAAACAAATTAACCTGATTATGTGTTGAATTAGTGGCTTAACGACACAGAGAAAATATTTCAAGTGATGTTAAAATACAATTATTTGCACATCCTTAGGACACTAAGGACAAAAAGGACTGCAAAGAACATAAACTTTTAAGTACTTAGTAATTGCTAATGACAGCAATCATGTTGCTACTTTGAGTCACATATAAGTAATATATATGATTTTACAGGTGTGTGTGTGTAAAAGGAAATAAATGATTATATTACCACTGTTAAGATTGAGATTTTCAGTATATGATAGAAAGTATACAAATCAAAAGTCAAGGAAGTTAAATAAAATCCTAAATTTGAATTAGAAATATCAGTATAAATAAATACATTTGTGGGCTTTTTTTAAAAATTAATAAATTTTTAGAGAGGAAAAATACAAGTACTGCCTCGCTCTGTCCACAGGAAAATAAATATAGAAACAAAGAGCAACCTGGTAACACTCAGATTATGGTCAATAAATAGAGAACTGGTTTCAGGAGAAATTGAACCTGGGACAGAAAGTATACAAAAAAAGTTGGGAACTCTCATCATTTAAGAAATAAAAGAAATTATCAAAGACTGTTGGGAGTCATGCCAACAGACATGAAAGGCTCTTTTCTGGCCAAAGATGGAGCTATTATATTTCAGCATTAAGAAGAATGATAACTATATTTGATTGGAACACATTAAGTCTGTTAAAAATCCATGAGGCATGGTGATACTTAGAAAAAAAAATCAACAAAGAAATTTTCATTGGTCAAACTTTGGAGAGTCTTAAGGAACCAACTCATTCTGCAAATTGGTAGAGAGAGAGAGAGATGAGATCATTCATCTTGCCTTTCCTATACAAACTATCCCTCAAGTAGTTGATGAGGTGAAGTTCTTTTTTTTTTTTGAGAGTTTTACTCTGTCACTCTCACAGCTAGCCTCTCTAGCAGATGGGACTACAGGCACCCACCATAATGCCCAGCTAGTTTTTCTATTTTTAGTAGAGACAGGGTCTTGCTCTTGCTCCAGCTGGTCTTGAACTCTTGTGCTCAGGTGATCTACCCATCTTGGGCTCCCCGAGTGGCAGTATTACAGGTGTGAGCCACCACACTTGGCCTGAGGTAAAGTTCTTTATTGAAGTAGTCCAACCAAATAATGAAGATGGAGTAATAGAATTCAAATATGACCACTCTAATGAAATAATTGAAGTAGCAGGGATGATCTGTAGCTGCTAAACTATAAGGTGAAGAGCTAACAGGGAATGTAGAACTGATGGATCAGGCTGATAACGTGTGAACCCGCTAATCAGTCTTAACATCACAAACAGAGGAGCATCCTGATATGCAGCAATAAAAGTAACAACACAACATCACCATCCTTGCAAAAACAAAACAAAACAAAGAATATGATTGCATCTTGGTTCTAGATCTAAATCACCAGTTTATGGGCAATATAATACAGAAATGGGAAACATTTTTAGAAGACATTGCAGAGATGCCATCAGCATCTCTATAAACCTGATAGGACAAAAGATAATTCCTTCTACAAACTGTCAGGGTAGGAGAAGGAGAGGAGAAAAATGTAATCCAGTATGTGGACCTTGTTTGGATTCTGATTCAAAACAACTATTTTTCTTAAATGAGAAAAATTGGGGAAATCTGAACACTAATCAGATATTTGATGATTTTTAAAGAATTATTATTTTTAAAGTGTGATAACATTTTGTTTTGCTCAAACAAAGAGTCCTTATCTTCCAGAGATAAACACTGTGGTATTCTGACATATATATAGGTTTTGGTTCACAGTTCCTAGCTCATAACTCCCATAGTCCTCATTACAACACTGGGGCACTTTAGGCCTCAGGAGACAGAATCTCTTTCTCTGACCTTCTCCTGTCCTCCTTTCACCTGTCCAAGGCAGGACTTTAATCTGATTCAGAGGCAAAACAACCTCATTCCAGAAAGGATCCTGCCCCATACCTGGAGGATGGAATGCTACAGAAGAGAGGCTAGGAAGAATCTGAACAGACAGGACTTGCCAGGTTTAGATTATGTCCTTTTTTGTACACATTGTAAATCATGCCTATGTAAAGAATCCTCCATAAAAACTCAAGAAGACAGGGTTCAGGTAGCTGAACACACAGAAGTTCTTGGAGGGTGGCGTGCCCAGGCCAGGCAAGGAAGCTCCACATACCTTGCACTACCCATCTCTTCATCTACATCCTTTGTAATATCCTTTACAGTGGTTCTCAACCCTCCTAAATGCCACAACCCTTTAATACAGTTCCTCATGTTGTGGTGACCCCCAACCATAAAATTATTCTCGTTGCTACTTCATAACTATAACTTCTTATAGAGTTGTTCAGGACAGTAACTACTCCGTTGCCCTCACCATCTCTGTCCCAGTGAAGTTTTAATTAACCAATTCAGTTTTCATTCCTTGGCCCCTTAGTCTTCCCTTTGTGAAGAGATTTAGTTGCAGTTAGGGCAAATAGAGACACAGTGAACAGATTCTCCTTATCTCATGCCTATGAGAGTAACATTAGGCACTCACAGTCAGGGCAGGTTTGTGGCAAACAAACAAACGAAGTTTCTCTAGGAAAAATACTCCTCTGTTCATAAGTTCTATAAGGAACTCTCTGTCCCTGTACTGCCAGGCACACTTACCAAGGTTCACGTTCTGGGTCATCCCCATACCCAAAGCTTGCCTGGGGACACCCTATGGTTCCCCCAAAACACATGCTACTGTCACACATTCCTAACCCTATGCATGCTGGAGATTGCCATCACTGGCTCCAAACCAAAGATCCAAGAAACAAGCCTATGTGCCCAGATTTTTCTCAGGGTCTTAAAAAAATTCTGGGACACCTGCTATTCTGCCTTCAGCCAGCAGGTGGCGCCAACTCCCCAACTAGAATTGTCACAGCCTCATCCCTGGCTCTTTATTCCCACCTGCAGAAGGAGTATTCACTCCCTCTAATCCATCAGCCTAACATCAGCTGTCTGAGAAATAGCTTTGTTTGGTTGCACTGAAAGTGATTTAAAAGAGTCTCTGTACAAAAATAGGGCCGTACTTTCCAATAGCCATCCAGACTTTGAGAAGATTTGCCTTCTTAGGAAGACAGTAGCAACAGGAAGGCCGTGTGACCCTGCGAACCCTGGTCAAGATGCCCCTGCTCACTGGCAGTGGTGTGAGGCTGCTACAAGGTGTACTTACCAGTGTACAAACAAACCCAGTTACTTTGTTTAAAGATCATTAGAGATGAGGAAAAACCTGCATCAAAGCCGGATGAACCTTCACTCTACCCTTCTAAACCATCAAAATCAACATCTCTCCTCACACCCCAAGTCCCCTAAGAGCCCAGTTTGGACTCAGCTGAACAAACAAGACCTTTAATAACCAGCCTGCCAACAACAGGGCCAAACCACAAACAGGTGGAAAATCCCCTCATTTCATCATGCAAATAATTAGGAAGTCTGGGTTTATGATAATGCAGCTTGTCTCTGGAGCAGTCTTAATTTTCCTTTTCAACTGCCACTCACCTTTGTTCACTGCCAAATACAGGGCAGGCAGGCTCAATGCTGCCCATGAAGACAGTGCAACTTTCCAGGCCATGGCCAAACCAAACAGGGAACTGAAAATTCACAGACCTACCTGGAAGTGCAAAATAATGGTCCATATCAGGCCCAGGGTCAGCTTGGGGTTACCATCTGTGATGTCATCATTGCGAATATTCACCAGTTTCACCTGAAAAAGAAACAGACATCGTCTTAGAGCTCTGGGACTTTTTGTTTTGATTTTTACATATTTTCATATCAATATACTGTTAAATTGATTTTTAATTTTTTGGTGTTAAGGTCTACAAGTTTTTTGTTTGTTTAGAGGGTCTTTCTTAAGACAGGGTCTTGTTCTTTTCCCTGGACTAGAATACAGTGTTGTCATCACAGCTCATTACAACCTCAGACTCCAGGCTTCAAATGATCCTCATGTCTCAGCCTTGTAAATAGCTGGCATGTGCCACCATGGTCAGCTAATTTGTTAAATTTTTTGTAGAAATGGGGTCTCACTGTTGCCTAGGTTTGTCTCCAACTTCTGGCCTCAAGTAATCTTCCCATCTCGGTCTCCTAAAGTGCTAGGATTCCAGGCATGAGCTACCACACGTGGCCAGTTCTATGAATTTTAACGTAAGTATAAATTCAGGTAACTACCACCACAAAACAGTTTCATGACCCTCAAAGGTCCTTTGTTCTGTGCCCCCCTCCCCTTTTTTTCTTTGAGACAGAGCCTCAAGCTATCTCCCTGAGTAAAGTGCCGTAGCATCACAACTCACAGCAACCTCCAACTCCTGGGCTCAAGCGAGTCTCCTGCCTCAGTCTCCCAAGTAGCTGGGACCACAGGCGCCCGCCACAACGCCTGGCTATTTTTATTTATTTATTTATTTTTTTTGGTTGCAGCTAATCATTGTTGTTTGGCGGGCCCGGGCTGGATTCAAACCCACCACCTTAGGTGTATGTGGCTGGTGCCTTAGCCACTTGAGCCACAGACGCCGAGCCTGTGCCCCCTTTTTGTGGTCAAACTCTGCTCCCAATCCTGATGACCATTTATCTGACTCTGGCCCTAGTTCTGCTTTTCCCAGAATGTTATGTAAATGGAATCATACCATGCATAGCACGTAACATTTTGATATTACCTTTTTTTTTTAAAATCAAGACAGAGTCTCACTTTGTCACCCTCAGTAGAGTACTATGGCATCATAGCTCATAGCAACCTCAAACTCTTGGGCTCAAGTGATTCTCTTGCCTCAGCCTCCCTAGTAGCTAGGACTATGGGTGCCCACCATAGCGCCTGGCTATTTTTTTTTTGTTTAGCAGGCATGGGCTGGGTTAGAACCCACCAGCCCCAGAGTATGTGGCTGGCACCCTAACTACTGAGCTACGGGTGTCCCTGATATTACCTTTTTTCCCCACTCAGCATAATGCCTTTGAGATCCCCATTCAAGTTGCTGCATGTATCAATAGTTTGCTCCTTTCTAGCACTAAGTAATATTCCATCATCTCTCTGTTTATCATCCATCCATTGACGGCAGTGTGAGTTATTCTAGTTTTTGGCAATTACGAATAAAGCTCCTACATTCATGTACAGATTTTTGTGTGAGCATATATTGCCATTTCTTTAGGGTAAATTCCTTACAAGTGGGATCGCTGAGTTATACAGTGTATGTTTAGTTTTATAAGAAACTGCTGAACTATTTTCCAGAGTGGCTTCATTCTGTATTCCCACCAGCAAAGCAACTCTACAAGTAAATGGTATTGAAAGTTGCTTTTTTTATTAAGTCATCAGGCCCTTGACTTTTTTTTTCTTTTGAGCATCTTACAGAGAACAAGATGCCTATTCTCACTCACCAATCTTTGGCCTGCTCCCACGTTTACTCTCCCTCCTATGTCATAGATACTCATACCTGCCATGCTTCCCACAGCATCTGCTTGACTTCCAAAATCTCACTCCAACAACACAATATGCTGACCCGCATGCCTTCCCCTGCCCAAAGGATGACCTATTGCTCCAATGTGCTGAGAACTGGAGGGTGTCCTGGGATGCAGGAATTTAAAACTGCAAATGTTCTGAGCAAACCACCATACTTCTCCATCAACTTGTTGGCGTCTTCTACCATGTCCTTATGGGGATCCCGTTCAAGTGACAAAAATATGCATACCATTTAATTGTGACACACTGCCCTTGAGCTATCCTCCTTTTATCTTTTCCATTGAATTGAAACGTCTTGTGTCTCTAAAGGACCCTAATGTCCTTCTCCAATAGAAATCTCACTTCTTTAATGTTCACCTGGGCAAGTTCTTTCACTTCTCTATATCTCTGTCTCCTCTTCCATGTATTGGGGGGTGGGGGGTGGGGGGCGGATGTAGGAGAACCTGCCCTTCCAGCCTGAGAATTCAGTTTTTCTATAATAGCTAACAACTCACAGTTGGTGGATTAACATTACACAAGTCCACACTCCTCAATCCCACCTCTGTGGACTTTCACTGGACCTCTGCCTCCCTTGCCCAATCTCTACTAACCCTTCCCTCAATGACTTGTATACATCTTTCTTGGCAAACTGTAGCACTCAGGTCGGTAACCCAAACATCACCCTTTCTAAGCAATCAGCCTGCCTTCTTAATTCTGATGACTTTTATTTTACCCCACTTATTAGTCTACCTGCCCAGTTAAAACTTGGACCTTACCGCTATAAAGAACTGCTATAGAGATCTCCTTCCCCTTCTCTGAATCAATTGTTCTTCCTTGCCCAAGTTTTCATTCTATCATAATAACCTAATCTACTTTTTGTCTATATTCAGACTTCTAGCTAATCAATTCTTCTCTGTTTATCTTGCCCATTAAGTTTCCTCTGGCTCCACACACAGACATTTCAACAGTGCTTTCTCCAGTACCCTAAACACTGAAGAAGCCTTTGTTTCTCCTACCAGTTTTCATGTATTAACTGTATTAAGTGCCATTTATGAGCCATTAATTATGACAGGTGCTGAAGGTAAAATGTTACGTAACATCATGTTCCTTGTTTTCATAGAGCACATAGTACACTGGAGCAAACAGACAAGTAATAATACAACAATAAATGCTATATTAGAAGTAAATCGTTTTCAGACCACACAGAAAGAAAATTTCCCAAGTTAATAAGAACTGCTAAGAGTGACAAAAATATGCATACCATTTAATGTCATGTTGACCTCTGCTGTTGCCTGGCAACCCTAGCTATACCAAATCTTTCCCACATGGCTCACTCCAAGCAGATGAACTCTGACTCCCTCATCCATCTTCCTTCCACAGACTATCTCTGTATCTTCACCCATTCTCTGGGCTCCTCCCTGTATCTCGGAATAAGAGGTATTTTCCTGTTCTTTTTCAAAGATAACCTCAGTAGTTATGCTCTAGTTCTCACCTGCTATCCCTGGACTTGTTTCCACGGATTAGGAGGCCACAGGGGAAGGACTGTGCAGACGACAGCATGAAGAAATACTAACCCCATATCAGGAGACCTGTGTTAAAGACCAGCTTTGCTCTAACTTGTGTGATTTGAGGCAGGCCATTTCGCCTGTCCACATCTCATTTCATTTTTCTATTATATGAAGAAACAGGACTATCAGATCACAGGGTGGGTCAAACATTTTATAACTCCTATCCTAACGCTCCTTTTCAATCTTATACTCTTATCTGGCTTCCTTTTTTATGTCTAAAAATGGATTATTGTCTTTCTTTCTTATCTAAGGAGGGAAAAACTACTTTCTCATTTCCTATACCTAAGTCCATTCTACTCCAAATGTTTTTCTGCTGTATTAAAACTGTGTTTTAAGGCGGCACCTGTTGCTCAGTGGGTAGGGCACCAGCCACATACACTGAGGCTGGTGGCTTCAAACCTGGCCTGG